CTATAACATTTATTATACTGTGTTAAGAATCCATTAAAATTTAATTGTGCAAGGGTGACTTCAGCCAGTTCCTGGAGCTTTTCAATATGTTCAAGTTGTTTTATAGCCCAATTTGCATCCTTTAAAATTTGTCTGCCTAAATTTTTCACATCCATTCCTTTCAATGCTAGTTATTCCTATCTCTTCCATTCATTCATTTCCTGTTGCCCCACAAAGGGTCCTTTTGACATATATATACATTTCCCTTCTTACTTCTTTGTGGATAAAACAAGATGTTCAAAACCTGTTTTCCACCCATTTCCCACATCTGAAGTGTCCCGAAATTCTGGGTAAGCCAACATCTGTGGGATAAGTACCTTTTCTTATCACTTCTTTTTTTCTTACCTTTCAAGGTGGATTCATATCAAATGTAGTTAAATAATTTTCTTTGCACTGGAGAAAGGTATGTGTTACTAGTGTTTGGTATGAGCTTTGTAAAAATGGAAAAGTTGGAAATACAGTCAGATGGAATGTAGCAACAACAGCATCTGCTCCTATTAAAGTCTTGGGTGAGTCACCATGCTTTGCTAAAGCTGGGAACTGAAAATGTCAGTGGTTACATGCTAGTCATTGTACATCTGGCACAAAAATAATTCCTAGTTTGTGTGTAGAGGAGCTGACTGCTTTTTTGTCTCAGATACAGACCTGATCCTTCCCTACACAGAATAAGGAAAGCTTCTGAAATAATACCATTATGAAAAGACAAAAACAGGCATGTCCAAGCTGCAGCCCAGCCCATCCCATTCCTGTAGCTGCCCCACCTCATGCCATCATGATAGCAGCTCTGCTCCGCTGAGTGACCTGGCCCAGCACTAGGCATGCTGCCATCACTCAGCACTAACCAAACAGTGCTTACTTAAGATATGGCAAAAAACTTCATGCATTTTGATACTCTGGCTAAACACAGTCCCATGAACAGTAAAAAATCTGCAGCCTTTCTTTTTTTTTGATAAGGGAATTTTAGAATATGTTGCAAGATCACTGAAAAAAATCATCGATTTATATTTACAACTCCATTTTCAGTTGACATAAATACATTACCTGTGGATTTTCAAATGGAGGATATAGAGTTGCAATCATAGATTCAACTAAAATATCCAATCTTGTCTCTTTACCAGACTTTTCTAAGACCTCTCCTACCAGAGAGAAATATCCCTCACTCTATAATCATACCTTATTCACATTATCGCTTTTTGGCAGTACACACATTTGTGAAAAATTATTGTCAAGGATGAAGTACAGAAAGTCAAATTTCATAAAAAATCTCTGACGAACACCTTGAACACTCTCTGTGAGTTGCAACCACTTCAGTTGAACCAGACATCAATGAATTTCCTTCACAAAAATAAGGTCAAATATTCCACTGGTTTTCTGTTTTTGTTGCTTTCTCTTTTTTAATGTTTTAATAAAATATTAAAAATTAAAAATAAAGGATAATTAAAAATTTAAAATAAATTTTGTTACTTATATGCTATAACTATATATTATATTTTACAAGGGCTGCTCAGAAACTAATGCCTCCTATTTTATTATGATGGCCCATGATGTCCAAGGCGGATGTCGGTGGTATGGCTTTCCCAACAATATTGTGTTACATTTTATTGCTGTGTGTCAGATAGCCGCAGAGAAGCAGTCCGACAAAATGGTGTCTAACATAAAAGTGTGTCATTGAGATCTTTCATGCAGGAAAATTGGTACCCACTGGCATTCACGGATGCTTGCTCACAGTTGATAGAGGCCAAACAGTGAATGTGAACATGGTGAGGCAGTGGGTGGTACATTCAGCAGTGGCGACAGTGACAGTAGATCATCTCTGCTGGTGCAGGTTTTGACAAGTGAGGCATGCAGGTTCTTGTACATCACTGATGAAAATGCATAGCAAATAGTGATGAAAATGTTGTGAAATAATATTCTGTAGCTGAAAATTTGCTTTATCAAACAGAGTTAATGTGCTCCTTGTATCTTCTGTAGTTTCCATGAAAATAAATAGGAGTCATTATTTTCAGAGCAGCCCGAGATGTTTCCTATTCATTCAGTGCAGCCCATGCAAGCCAAAAGGTTGGACATCCATGGATTAAGATCTGTAAATGTAAAATGCTTTTCTGTCCCTTCCTGTGTTTTGGTTGTGTTTCACGAAGTGGTCTAACCATAGTCAAGGATATTTACATTATTCTCCTTCTGAAACATAGTATTAGTAACTGAGCCAGCTCTTGCCTGAAAGATTCAATGGTAAATTTCTGGGATAGAATTCTTCTTTACGTTCATTTTTTGCAAGGCTGAATTAACAAGGTTTCATAATAAAAACTTCTTGTGTGTGTGTATGGAATACACTCAATAAAAATTACATCTTTTTTCACTGCTTGCCTTCTTGATGTTTGTGATGTCCTAACATACATGTTCTCACCATACATTTCTCATGGAAATGAAATGTTTTTTAACATTTTAAAATTAACATTTAACACTCAAGTGATTGTTTGCTTCCCATTTTATCCCTGCTCCATTCCTCAAACAGTTGCAGCCATATAGGATGCCTCACAGCCTTGTATATCCCACTTCCAATTTTAATTGAGATGTATCACTTTGCAGAACCTGCTCTTTCTGCCATGCTTCCTGCCTTGAACAAACCTACGGTTCAGATATATATAACAATTGGTTTTTTTCTGCCCTTTATTCCTCGATAACACTCTTGCTACAAAGAACACAAGCAAATCTGGTAATCTGATCAGATTTGATGCATGGAACCTGCATAGTCTGCCTCTTATCTAGATGTTCACTTCCAGTTTTGTTGATTAATCTTTCTGCACCTGTTTACTTCTGAAGTTGTCTGAAGCTCAGCCTTCTCTGCATCTCTTCCAAATTTTTAAATCCTGGACCTCAGCCTTCTGCAGTTTCTTGCCCTCATTCCAAGCAATTTCAAGTTACTGCAAAACTTTGTTTCATTACACTTTTCTTTCATGTTGCTGTTAATACCATTTCCTTCATTTGTCACTGACTGCCTTTTCTTTGCCTCCCTGTATTGCCCTCTCATTCTCTCACACTGAAAATAAAGCTGCTTGTTCTCTTGGCTCTGAAAGGCATAGTCTCCCTATGTCATCTCTTAAAATTGAAATGTAAAACCTTCTAACTGTCTTCAGCCTGCAATGACTACTTGTTCTATATTCAGACATGGATTTTTTCATTTCTTCCAGGCAGTGCTCTACCTTCTTCCCACAATCTCTCAAAAAACTAAGCATCTTTTTTTTTTTTTGGAATGTCACCCAGAACCTGAAAGTGTTTTAATTCACTATATCATTTCACACTGATAAATTCCATGTAACTATTTTTGTTTATTTTCTTGTACTTTGAATCACAGAATGACAGAATCATTATTTAAATTAAGAAGATATCTCTTGAGAGATTCCCTTCTACTACAGCAAATTTCTCAGGACAGTGTCCAGTTGGGTTTTGAATATCTTCAAGGATGGAGACTACACAGTCTCTCTGGGCAACCTGCTTTGGTGTTACCAATTATTCTCACCATAAAGCAAAGTTTTTTTTTAATCTTATGTTCAGATAGAATTTCATGTGTTTCATTTTGTGCTCATTATCTTGTCCTGTTACTGGGCTGTATTGAAAGGGGAGTGTGTCCCTCTTCTTCTTTCCCCCCTATCAGGCATTTCTATTCAATGATAAAACTACCCCTGAGTCTTCTCTCAGTCTTGTGTAAAGATGCTTCAGTGCTTTAACCATTTTTTGTGAACCTTTGCTGAACTCAAAGTATGTCTATGTCTATGTCTTTCTTGTGCTGGACATAATACTCCAAATCATGTAAGCAGTGCTGAGAAAGGGGGAATAAGTGGATCACTTCCATTGACTCCATTGACAATGCTCTTCCTAACATAACCTTGAGTGCTTGTTGGCCTTCTCAGCTTTCCAGATCATTGTCCCCAGCATATACTGATAGGCGGATGATTAAGCTGGATGATCTTGTAGATCTTTTCCAACCTTCGTGATTCTACGATTTTATGATGCAGGGATACACCTTTTCCCTAGGTGTAGAAATTTACATTTCCCTTTGTTGAACTTCAAGATATTCCTGGTGACCCATATCTTCAGTCTGTCAATAGCTGTTCGAATGTCAACTCAGCCATTTGTTTTATCAACCAATCTCACAAGTTTTGTATCGTCTGCACTTTCTGAGAGTGCATTCTCTCCTGTTGTCCAGGTCATTAATGATGATGTTGAACAATATTGACCCCAGTACATCACTAGAGACTTTGCTTTAATGGGACTTCATGCAACTGTTCAAAATCTTCTGGGCCCACTTTCTACAGTTTCTAGTTCACCTCCTTATATACTTACCCAACTTACCCATGCTTCCTCAGCTTGTCAATAAAGATATTATGGAAGATGCCTTACTAAAGTAAAATACACAATCTCTACAGCTCTCCAATCACCCACTAAGCTAGTGATCTTGTAGAAGCTATTAGGTTGGATTACAATGATTTCCCATTTGTAAATCCATGTGAACTACTTCCAGCCTCATTCTTGTCCTTTGTGTATCTGGAAATGGGTTCTAGTATTAGATGCTTCACCACTTCCAGGTATTGATGTGTGGCTGACTGGCCTGTTGTTTCCTAGTTATTCCTTCTTGGCTTTCTGAATGATTGAAGGTGAGTGGCTTTCTTTTTACTTTTCTGTTTCTAGAGGTGATTTTGATCCATGTCTACGGCTCTACATGCTATGGTAGTAAAAGTATTAAGCAAAACATTTGATTCTACTTTCTTATTGATAATTTTAAGATAAATGGATGCAAGGTGAGAGATAGAATTTGTAGCCCAAAGTTCAGCTCCTAAAACTCAGACCTCTACCATGTGAATTAATCAGTACAGTTCTAAAATCACCACACTGCCAATCTTTATAGATAGAGCTGTTTTTAAAAAAATCTCTAAATTTGTATTTGCATTCTTTTCCTGTTTCAGGCCGAAATGAGCTGATTGCCCGTTATATTAAGCTGAGAACAGGGAAAACACGCACAAGGAAACAGGTAAGTGTAAAGTATTCCATTTAAACTTTAGGTGCTTAGGACCACTACACATGCTGTGAGGACATATGGTTTAGCGAGAACCATTGGTGATAGGTGGATGGTTGGACTGGATGATCTTATAGGTCTTTTCCAACCTTAATGATTCTGTGATTCTGCGATTCTGTGACATAAAAGAAATTCCTTGCTACTCACTTGCTATTGGTTTCTAGCTTTCCTAGGAAGAGTTACTGTTTAATAAGAGTGGTAGAAAGTCAGAAGAATTTTATAATATGACTATAGTGCTTACATCTCTCATTGACCTTATAACACAATTTTTCTACTGTTAAACAGTGTGGGCTTTTATTTGTTTTGTTTACTAATGAATATTTTAGCTAGCATAAATGGCAGGATTTTTTTCAGACCGGACATACAGACGGCAGTGGTGATTTTGAAAACATATGGCGGATGGGATGAAAAATACGTCTCTTTGATTTGGGAATGGCAGTACAGCCTATTCTGGACAAAGCCCTGACAAACCTGAACATATTTTGGGTAGAGGACTGAAAGGACTGGATTCCTTCCAACCTAATTTTTTCTATGATGTATTTTAGCTCATATTCTGAAGTTCTAAGAGTCAATATATAGTGGCCAAGGTCATATAACATTTTGTCAAAGGTAGGACAAGGTGGAAAGAGGTCAAAACTCAATCGTCAGGTTTATGGATGTGTTCTTCAGTTTCACAGAAGATATCTGGCTTTATAAAGCTATTTGAATGGTAAAAGGCCTTCATCGGCCTGTCTCTGTTGATCCTTTACTTCATGTAATCACAGTTACTTTTAGAAAAGCATCTCATTACTGCCCCAACTCTTCTCCATCCATCAACCTAAATAACTCCCTAATGCACAAGGTGCCTAAAGTAGACTTTACTTCTGCAAGTAGCTACCAAATACTTGTCAGGATTGAAGATTAATTTTGTCTTTCAATGCAGGTATCTAGTCACATCCAGGTCCTGGCAAGGCGGAAAGCCAGAGAGATCCAAGCCAAGCTCAAGGTACAATGGGTATCCTTTATCACATAATGCATTGCTTGAGTCTTCTGTTCTTTCATCCCCTCTATCCTTAGAAGAGCTGGAAAAAAAAAAAGGGTGAGATTAGCCAGTTGTATGGGAACTGCTGAATCATGGCCTGAACCTCTGATTGATCACCTGAGGCGAGCAGTGAGTCAGCCACAGGAGCACAGGTGAAGGCAATTCACTTGTGCTGCCGAAAGGGGTGGAGCTTGGCTCCACCTCTCCTAGACCCATTTAAGAGCTGACTACTAGCAGGGAATGATCTCTTTATGGAGATCCTTTGGAGTTTTCCAGCAAGCCCAGGATGAGGGTAAGTTCCTCTATCTATTCTTTTTGGTGTAATAGCCTACCTAGCCAAACTCTCTTGTATGTTTCTTAATTATAATGCCTGTGTATTCATTGATTATGTACCACTGAACTGTGGTAAACTGGGAATGTAAAGCTACTTCCCAGGAAGTGCTGTCCAAACACTTGTATTGTTGGAGCTCTGTGATGTCTAAGGTAATTCTACTTAAGGAATAAAGAAACAACAGCTTTTGTTTTAATGTGTCAGATTTCTACCTCTGCTTTATACTGCTGTCTATCAAGTTTGAGCACCTCTTGGACTTGGGAGCACGGGAAATGTGTTCAACTGAGAAGGTGGAGCTTATGCTTACAAATGTTGACCTGTAATCATTCCCCGGTGTTTTCTGTGCCTCGGCAAGGGTAACTTTACAAGTACTGGTGCTCTAGTTCTACTAGTGGTTATGACATGGAGTTCTGCCTGGGAAAGGATCTGAGATAATATAACCACTGGAAGGAAAACGCAAAGCCACCTGTTATCTTCTCAAGTAAAGTGGTACCAGTTGAACAGACTTTGCACTTCGATTAATTCAGACCTGATTTGAAGAGTCCTGGGCTTATCTTCCTTCTTAATAGAAGGAAAGTGGTTGACTTCTGTCTAGCTGCATAAGTAAATCTGTGTTTTCCTTTCTATAGTCCTTGTTATAAATCACTGAGAATCTAAGGAAGGAGATGCATGCTGGCCTTCCTGATTTGATGTGGCACATTTGCTTCCTTGATTTTTCCATATTTTCAGGTGACAATGAGGTTCTTGATATCCCAGTCCAGTCATGAGACTGGGATGATCAATTCTACCTGAGAATAACATTCCTGATAGTCATGACTATCAACTAAATAGCTGTTAGTATGTGATTCCTCTTCACTGTCTGGACAGCTTCTTGCTAGGCTACACAGGGCGTGGACTGTCTGTGAGTGACACTGGCACTTAGTGCTGGAGTGGCATCTCTGGCATGAGCAGTGCTTACTTCTAACTGTCATGAATGCGCACTACCCTCCTTCCGCCACCAGTTTCAGATCTGTTTTATAAACTGTGTTTTGTCTATAATTCACCTGTTATGTTTCCAGGTGTTCTGATAAAGAGAGCCACAAATTACAATTCTGTGCTTCTAGGTAGTGCTGCCTAAGTTCTAAGGCTGTGGTATTATTAAGTGGAGTGGCAAGTTGAAGTGAGCAGGAAACAACAGCCCAGGTTGTTAAAAGATTTACTGCTGCTTATATCTGTAACCTTGATTCCATCATTTGCATGTCACAGTTCTGGGATTTGGCATGATTGAAAAGCCAGTCAGATGAGCCTGTTTGCACTTAACATTTAAGAGCTGGCAGTCTGTTCTTCAGGGAATGAAGGTGTCTCAGCGAGCAGCATGGAGCCATTGCTTATTCTTCTTACACTACCTCCAGTCATGCTGAGAGCTCTCACAGCTGCATGCAGTGAACTGTTCACTAGTACCAGAGTGTTTCTTTTTTTCCTACAGAGGCGAGTCTGTAGCACTACTTTGACTCATTTACTTCTTTGCTTTCCCTAGTCATTTTTGTAAAGCAAGGAAAAGGAATCACAAAAGCTACTATCCTTCTTCCAATTTTGGCTGATAGCTGAGTGTTTTTCTGTCACTGTTCATTTTTCATTCTGAGTATACTTTTTCATATTCGCATACTAGGGATCTGAGCAGCTACATACTAACTTTTCAAAGCAATTAGTCTAATACTAATTTCTCCCACACAAATTGAGGTCTCTTTAAATCTGCACTGTGCCTGTTGTAGATAGATGTGGGGAAGTAAGGTAAAAGATCAAAGGAAGCTCTGTTCTCAGATGTCAGTTAGTTTTCTATATCCTGGGTGACTAATAGATACTGTACTAAAGAAAAAGAGAAATTTGTGGTTTTATTATTATTTATTCCAATGCATTTTGAGAGGAATAAAACAAAAGACAAACTGCAAGTGTTTGTTAAAAGTAACTTTTTTCTTTTGTACTGGAAATACAGATACGGATGAATACAGAACTGTTAGCTGAGAAAGAATAGAGATGTCTCTAGCATGTTTTTGCTGTTTTCCAACATTCTGTTGGGCATTTAAACAAAGCAGAAAAATAAAAGAAAACTTTGATAGATAAAAACTTTTCCCTTCTTAATTGCCGTATTATAATTAAACTTTCTTTAAAAAATCCACAAGTAATTTCAGTTCTCTTTTTCCCCCCCAAAAAAACCAGGTAGACAAATATGACTTTTCCAGTGGAAAGGTAAGGAGAGCTAAAGGTAGCCTTAAAATGTTGCAGGTAATCTCTGAAGTATCATTTCAGACACTGTAGTCTGAAAAAAAAATTCTCATAGCTTTTGAGAAACTTAGAAATTCTGTCAGTTATTAAAATGCTTCCCTTCCATGTGTTTGAATGGTACAGAAGTCACAGATACTGTAAAAAAAAAAAAAAAAAGAAATACCTGAGTTATGCTCATTCCTACATATCACTTCATTTCAAAGTTATCTTTCTTGAGCTTTTGTTTTGCTACCTCAAAATGTTTTTCTATGATATCAATCAATATCCCTGTGATTTGGCCTTTAGAAAACTTAGGGGAGGGGATAGAGAGAGTGGAGACCCAAGAGCAAGAACTTAGTGCAGTTACTAAAATAAATGAGCTTGTGTCTTTGAGAGTTCCTGAAGAGAACAAAAACTTCTTTCAGCAGCTTCTCCAAGCCATGAATTCACCTCTGGCATTGCCATTATAACTATGATGTCACAGATAAAAGCAGAGTGTCTAAAGGATAAAGATTACTTGTATGGGATTGTAGCATGAAAGGAAGAATATGTGGAAGTACTTATGGTTGTCCATTTATTTCTTCGACTTCCTTGTAGAAGAAACAAAGAATGCTCTTTGTTTTCAACATACATTAGCTCCATTCTTTGTTGCAACTCCACAGTCTTGCTAAAATACAAATCAGAATGTTCTTGCATATGTTCTTGCCCTAGGATTTCTTGTTTCCCCAAGGATAATCGTTGCCAGGGATGATCAATTCTAACTGAGAATAACATTCCTTATCTGAGATAGTCTTTTTACAATGATGATAAGCTCTGTTTGTGTTGACGATGAGCTTGTTTTTAGAATTTTTTTTATTGAGAATTGAGGGTCTTTCCATTAACTATCCTTACCAATAATTAAAACACAGGGCTGAATTAGAATCCTAACTTCCACAAGAAAACATTTTAGCTGTGGGATTTAAGAACCTTCAGACAGAAAGGAGAAACACTTAGCAGTCTCTAAACCAATGATGCCAGCATTTCAGGAAGCAAGATTAGCCATATCTGAAGGTATAGTAATGGTTGAGAGTTCAAAGCTTTGAAGAGTTATTAAGGTATTAATTAGTGAGTCTGCTGCTCAGGTTTTCAGAGATGCTCCTTCCCTATGACGGAGCTGGTGAGAATACATTAGATCAGGCAACATATTTATAATTATTCTGTCTTTTCTCTTTCTACTCTTACCCATAGGATCAGACAGCTAAAGAGAAAGCTATGCAGAGTATGGCTACAATGTCATCTGCCCAGATTATCTCTGCAACTCCCTTCCATAGTAAAATGGCCTTGCCGGGTCTCCCACGACCAGCCTATCCTGCTGTTTCAGGGGTGAGTGAACCCGTGTGTTAGAAGACTTGGGCTGATAACACTTGAATCTTTGAAAGAGTGTCACCTTTGTACAACAAATGTTTAATATGGCTTCAACATTGTCTGATTCTTAGCTCACATTGATATAATGAAACTCTGTTTTATATGCTTTTCTAAAAAATTATACAAGTGAGAGAACAATCATCCTCTGGATTTTCAGCTGCCTGGAACATTAAGGTGTCTGTATCCTTTTCTCAGTCCTTGAAGCAGTTTGGCCCATCCTGACCCTTTGTCATCATTCCCATGCTCATTCTGCATGCTTAGATCACAAATTGATGGCTCTTACGGAACTTTTAACACAGAGGCCTTGTCAGCATCCCCTGTCCTTTGTGTTGAGCCTAGTGAAATTTGCTCAGCATTGATTTCTCCCAAAATACTTCTGTGGAGTTCTGGAAAAAAGTCCTCCATTGAAGAGGAAGAGCATTTTTTTTAAAGCTTTGGAGACAGAGGTGCAAGAATGCATATATGCTATTTTAAATTTAAAAATACTATTGTCACTTGCTTTTACATTACTACTATTACTGTGTAGAAAATACCCTCCCTGGATTAAACCAGGAAAGCAGGAAGAGGAGCTGCAGCTAAATCATATCTTTAAGTCTGAGCTTGCAGTTTCTTTCTTCAGACAGGGGCATGTCTGGCTTTTTTTCTCAATACTAAGAGTGATTACCTTTGCCTGTGCATTGTTCTCTTGCAGTTTTGGCAAGGAGCTTTGCCAAGCCAAGCTGGATCTTTGCAAGAGTGAGTATTCCTTTGTCTAAATGTTTCTTTGTCTACATGTTCCTTGAGGAATGACATTAGCTATTTCAAGATTTTTGAAATGTTAATGTAATCCTTGTTCTTAGACAGAATCCCTGACTGTGGATCTGAGACCTAAGGCCTGACATTCTTCTAAGGCTGAAGATAAACTTAGAGTCACAAGACATTCTTAAACAAATAAAATCTTATGTCTTCATATGGTATCTTTAGTATGGATTGTATCCCTTTAATGTGCCCTGCAACTCAGACAGCCTAATGTGGTTATTTTAATGAGCTGCTGAATCTAGCAGCCTGAAACAAGGCAGCTGTGTCCATGCTCCCAATTTCAACCAGCAAGTGAAGCTGAGCATGTATTCCTGATGGCACACAAACAGATAAATATATACATTGCACATACATGCAGATATACACTGACCCCCCCCCCCAAAAAAAAAAAAACCACAGATTTAGCACTCATATAAATACAAACAGCACCAACAGCCTCATTCTGTATCCCTCTCTGGATGATGTTGGTGAAGGTGTGTTAAGGGAATATAAATGCACTGTGCATCCATCCAGTATCTGGGTTTGTGTACTCTGTCCAGTAGCTGTCCCTGGATCCTTTGTCTCCCCCTTTGCTGGCACCTCAGTGTCTGAACTCTTGAGGCTGCAATTCCACTTTTTGCTGGTGTAGATTCCTCTCACACACAGATAAACGCACATGCATGTGAACTTCTTTGGTAGCTGAGATATATAACTAAGATATGTAGTCCACCCAGTAGAGGGGCCTGGATCTTCACTCTTCCCCAGTTTGCTACCCACAAAGATAAACACATACAAACCTGGCTTTCAGTCACCCTTCAGACTTCACAGTCTTTATGTCAGTTGGTCTGGATCTTTGTTCAACTCAAATTAACCTCCTCAGGGTGCCTTGCCCCTGAAGACATACAGTTGGCTCCATAGTCATCTATTTGCTGGCTAGTCTAGCTTGATATTCAGTAGTGAGCACACTCTTAATTGCTATAGTTTCTGAAGCTACAGAAACGTGGCCCCTGTAACCTATAAGTTGGTCCTGTGAATGGCACTTAGACCTCCACAGGCACTGCAGAGTACAGGAAATTAATTAGAATTTAATATGAAGACTGTACAGACTGTAATGGTAATGTGCAGAACATGGCCAGACAAATATACTAATCTTTTAATATGCAACATGTATCCTTTATCCCTGTACTTGCCCTAAATGTCTCCAAAATCTTTTGTAGTCCCCAAATGCTCTTTCATTTTATCTCAGTGTGTCCCATACCATCTAGACATTGGTCCCTTCAGTTGATTTGTAAACCCCAACTGACTTACTGAGTTGGATTCCTACCTAGCCAATGAGGCTGGTGACTCCCTGGCAGCCTAGATTGATCAAATCAGGGATTTTATTTCTATGACTCTATTATTGGGGTTCCCTCTTCACAGTGTAGAGACAAGAGGTTGGCTGATGGTTCTCCAGTAATGGTCTTGGATGTAGTTATGTCAGAATATTATTCAGGTCATTCTGTCTTCTCTTGTTCCACCATGCTATCATAACTGCGTGGAGACGGCATTTTTATCACGTAACCTCGCAAGATATGTTCTGTGAGCAAATTTAAGACAACTTAAGGACAAGTGGCTGGAGGGATTATGCTTTTCACTCCAGCTGTGTGTTCTTGCTCTCCTCTTGTTCTATTGCTGATATTTGTAAGGCAGGTCAGGGAACAGAAACTAATAAGCTGTCTTGTGGGGAAAAGTAGTTCATAAAATACTGAAAGCTGTTCTGGGAGAAATGAAAAGTGTTTAAATCATCTAATCTGTATGAACAGTTGATCAAATGTATTTTCCTTTTCCTCTTTCCTCCTTCTCTCCCTCAACTATCTTTGCGTACTCTGTAGTGTGAAACCTTTTTCGCAACAAACCTATGTTCTACAGCCTTCGTTGCCATTACCAGGTAAGTAAGAACTATAGTTACTTTAAAACTGTGTTAACTTCAAAAATAGCTAACACTTATTTTATAAGTTATTTTAAAAATGATTTTTGCCTACTGAAACATTTCAGTAGGCACAAAATTAATTTCATATAGTTTCCACTTATTTTTAATAATTATTTTTAGTTTACATCCTTATGTCAAGAGAGCTCAAACAGTTTATTTTTTAAAAAATGCAATGTTTAGTCCTGATTTTTGCTGTTTGTTTTGGGGTTTCTTTTTCTCCTGATTCAGAATGAAAAGCAAGTTTATATTTGTTGTTCTTCCACCATGCTGCTTGCATTAGAACATTGTATTCCATCATAACAATTGCCTTTCCAATTCCTCATAAAGTGGAATAATAAATGTATTTTCTTCTCAGTTTCCCCACTTTGAGAAGTTAGTTAATCATGTTGATGGTGATGCTTCATTCTCTGATACTAAGCCAACTTATTTCACTGCTCATTTAGGGCATATCCAGATCCTCTTAAAGTTGCATGTTTTCTGTGAAGTCAAAACCAGGTAGATTATCTTCTGCATCAGCTGGTACAACTCTGACAATTGCTGGTGTAGCAGAATGTGACTGAGAAGCCATTTACAGCACAGGTGGAGAGAGAAACATGAATGGTATCTTGCATGATGAGTTAAGTTGGAAGGAAATGTTTAAGTCAGATTTGACAACAGGATCTTTATTGGAGAGTTGTTACAACTTACCTGTTTCTAAATTTTGGTATATAAATCTTCTATGCTTAGGGTTTGACTCTGCCACTGGCCTCCCACCTTCATCATCAGCACCAGCTTGGCAAGGACGAAGGGTTGCTAGCTCCAAACTTTGGATGTTAGAATTCTCTGCATTCTTGGAACAGCAGCAAGATCAAGACACGGTAAGATACACTTTTGACTTCCACTCCTGATTTATCTTCGGTATTTAGGTAGCTCCTGCTCATTGTGTATATGTGCTATATGTGTATGAAGATACTTCTTTTCTCTACTGAGAATAGGAAGCCACCTGTGGGAAACAAAGAATCCAGTTAAAACAGATCCTTTTCTTAAAGGATAGAATTGCTTACGGCACTATAGCCAGTTACGTGCCATGTCCTTCTAGCCTCCCTTTCCAGGGTCATGAGACAGTGGTACAGCCCCTATAGGGCTATTCTAGCTATCCTGTTTGGCCTAAGAGGATAGATCCAGAATCAAGAGATGGTTAGATCATGTGGAGCTACATAATCCCTCTTGTGTGCTGAGAACTTAAATTTGGGGTCAACTGGGACAAATTTGCATCCGTGTTTTTCTGTGGAAACATACATAACATAAGAATAATAACACTTGCCTGTCTTACCAAAGCCTTGTGATACTGCATCTTGAGAAATACACTGGTGATGAGCCAGTTATACTTCCTTTCTCTGAGACAGGAAAGTTCAAAAAAGATGGTTGCATTTGGCTGGCACCTTGCTGTGGTAAGTCAGGCAGTTCTTCTCAGGATAAGGAGCTTTGATGTTTATTGGCTGAGTGACTTGTGACAGGTAACATTCTTCATCTCAGGTAATTCCAGACTGCTTAGCAGCAGCTATACAAGGCAATGATTTAGAAGTGAATTTAGGGGGAAAAAACACAGAATTACTTCAGAAGAAGCAAGAAGCTGGATGTATTCTTAAGAAATTTAAAACAACATAAGCTGGTATTGGCGGAGACCTTTCAGCTAATATTATATATCTAATATGTTAGAAAGTGCTATCAAATTTTAAGAAAATTCCTGTAGTCAGGCTTTATCTGTTTCCTTCTGGATTAAGGTGATAGAGCATCTATTGTCACAGTTCCAGCGTGATGTGTAGAGCAGGGGTACAGAACTTTCCATGTAATCATTCATACCATCTTCAGAACTCAGCCCTCCGTGCACTGTTAATGCTCTCTGCATCAACTGATAAAAGAACTGCATGCTTTCTGGGCTTCAAGATCTTCTGAAGTAGTCTTATGAGCTTTTTGGATTTCTTTGGTAAGGTAGACTCACCCTCATCATGTTGCTAAAACATCAGCCCATGAAAAGCTGTATGTTCAGAATATAGTGAAAAATTTCCTAATCCCTTGTTTTTCATGTTCTTACAGTATAACAAACACCTGTTTGTGCACATCGGGCAGTCAAATCCCAGCTACAGTGATCCCTACCTTGAGGCAGTGGATATCCGACAGATCTATGACAAGTTCCCTGAGAAAAAAGGGGGCCTGAAGGAGCTGTTTGAAAGAGGGCCATCAAATGCCTTCTTCCTTGTCAAATTCTGGGTAAGGGAAGGACTCTTTGTAAGGTATCCATTTGCTATGAAGTTCTCACTTTAAAAGCAGTGGCCTCACTATCTGTTAGATTACAGCTAGAAGACCTCTCAAAAAATTCTCACTGAGCAGAAGTCTGACTACAGTCACAACTCTCTCTGGCTTCTTTTCCTAATTGTACAAGGTGCTAATTCTACCCTGGAGTAAGACATATTTTTCATGGTATCATCTGTACAGTTCTTTTTGACTAGGTCTGGGGAGTATGTTTGGTAATGGTGACTAGTACACTTTGAATTATGTACTTATATACATAAGAAGAATTGACAGAATATTCTTCTTTGTGCACTTGTGTTCAGTGCTGAGTAAATTCTCAGTCAAAGGCAATGGCAGTGATTTTGTCTCGTCTATCTCACTAGCTGCATTTTATGCTAAGCAAGTACTGATGATGAACAGGTATGCATTGACTGCAGAGACGGTGATAGACAGATGATAAGAGATATATTATGAAATTGTATTATGTTGCTGATATTTTTACTGAATTTACTTCTAGTATGTTGGCAGAAATCAGTTTGGCAAAAAACTTTCTTAATTTAGCCTGCATAGGATTTTCATGAATTAACTTAAATTTGCAAAAACTGTGCCATTGTACTTCAGCATACAAACAAAATAGTTACGATGATAACAACTATCATAGGTATTACGTGATTAAAAACAATAAGAGCTTGGTGCAGATGCAAGATAGATGGCTGAAGGCATATGTGATAGGATTTGGAGCTTTTCACCTTGAGTTACAGCTTACACTTCAACCCCAGGTCAGGAGCGAGATGATGAAAAATGAGCTTCCATATCTTGTACTCTGTGCAAACTGACTTTAGAAAACCTCTTAACTAGTGCCTTCAGAAAAAGAATTAATTTATGTGCCTTGAGTTGTGGCTTCCCAGCTGTCTCAAGCCTAACCTTTCCAGAACTGAGTTGGAGAATGCTGGCTAGGAGTCTGCTGTTCAATGTCTAATGCTTAGAGCATTAGTTATCAGCAGTTCTTGCAGACATAATTTTACTACCCCCATATTGTGTACTACTAAACTTGGTCCCTAAAAGAATTAGTCTCTGTCAGAGTACTACTAAACCTGCTTGAGAAAATTGAAACACCAGCCCTAATTGCCCATGAATGGAAGATATTAGAGAGAGCAGCACCTTACTGGAGGGGTCACCTTTGACAAACTACTTTGTGTGGTAATTGCTCTACGAACTGTCTGAGAAAGGAAACAGAAGTCTGATGTGACAAAAGAAGGGGGAAAAAGAGGGGGTGGCTTTTGAGGAAGAAGTCCTTGGAAAACTAGGATTTGCAACATACAGTTGCTTTGTTCTATAGAGACCCTAAACAAATGTTCATGCCAAGGTGAAGTATACTGTCTCCTTTGTGGAATCATACTGAAGTGCTTTAGAAGTTTCAGGAACAAAAACAAAGTTTAGAGGGAGGTGTTAACCAGAGAGATTGTAACACTTTGAATTCTTAAGGGAAGAAAAATCATAGTGAACTTGTGATCTAGTACAACTGTGATTTTATTTATCTAAACTGACAGCATGTTGTTTTTGTGCTTGTGGGGTTGTCTTTGGGGACTTTGTCTGTATAATAAGGGAGAGGTAAATGTGGCCTATGTACCGTGTCATACCAACCTAAGCTAGGCTTGTAAGGATTTACATGGTGGTATGTCATTGAGGTTGCTCTCACTGGGCCCACGTAAGTTGTCTGGTTTTCAAAGAGTTTCTGGTTTTCAACTCACTGAAATTTGATTTTCATAAGGAGATGTGTCTCAGGACTTGAAAAATCTTTACTCCAGAGCCAGTGATACTATGCATGATGCCTTGGGGTTCACTTCAAAAAATGATGCTCTGGGGCATGGCTTAATATTTTGATTTTCTCTTTTCTTTTTTTTTTTTTGGATGCTCTTTCATTGTTGAATTCATGCCTGGAGTTTACATCCACTTTTGTTGATAGAAATATTGACAACTGTTTATTACAAGTGAGATGAGTTTATAAGTGAAGTCACTGATTGAGTGGAAGCCACTAAGACTTGTGTGAAGTAAATCATTCAGTCTTTTATTTGTTTCTCAGTGTAGGCAGTAGGAGTTGAAAGCATGACTTCTGCTGTGGTGTTCTGGAGGAGAAAGATGGGATACTAAAATGATTTGTATTGTGTATGAAGCACACACAGGTGTACTCTACATTATTACTTTTGTAAGATTTCAGCTAGGATCTCCAGGTCAGGTCAGCATAACAGAACTAGTTTGAATAAATAAAATCTTTACTTCTGAAAATCTGTGGTGATTTCTACTTCTTAAGGAAAACTCCAGCACTTTTTCTTGGAAGATTTATAATTCAACATGCTTCATATGTTATGGTAGTGCAGTCTTATATATAAGTTGTGAGCCATGCCTGTAATTCAGCATGCTACATTTGTCTTAGAAATCCTGAGTTTGATGCAATAGGTCTGTATAGTCAAACTCCACTCAATGGGAGAGACCAGATAACATAAAGCAGCAAAATCTGGAAACTTTACAATACATTATATTGGTGTTTCCAAATACAGACTTAAGTAGACTTGACCAAATGTTTTACAGATTCTGGGTGAGAGTTGTCACACTCCATCCCAGGCCAAAATAAACACTTAACAGATCAAGCAATGTGGTTTTAAAAAGTTTTTTCAGAAGAAAACTGGATTTTGGCTGAAAATTTTATCTCTCTCTGCATTTTTACATCTCTATATATGCCTAGGGTGTTTTACTATTTTATTACTTGATCATTCTGGACAACTGTACCAAGTACGCTATCCAAAGATGTGTTGGATAAAATAATTTCTATGCTATTGAATTTGTAGCATTGTTTTTTAAGGTGAAACCATTATTCAAAAGCAAACTGCTGATAATCTTCATGTGTGGGAAGGTAAATACTTGAAGATTTCTTTGAGAACTGTATATATGTTTTTTTCAGATGTTCTGAACTGGTACTTTCATGTGGCAAAGACATAAAAAAAAAAAGCATCAAGACACTGGATAAGTTGTTATATAAGTTTTAATAGTAATAAGTTGTATTTATATAGTTTTAGGCTTGAAGAACCTGAGTTAGGAAACAGCTGGTACTGCACTAAGCAGTGAATATTCCAGATAATCTGTTGTGCTTTGGAAGTTTAACTCCAAACACTGGGTGTTTTTTGTTATTGTTGTTTTGGTTCTTTTTTTTAACATTACATAAAAGGTAGTGTGGCTGAGAAAGAGTTTGCATTTTTTCAGTGGTGCAGTAAACTACTTATACAACAGCTAAAAGTTGACTAATTTGAAACATAAATAGTGTTTGTAATTCTGCCTTGATTTTGGCCTTGGGAGCCTGAGAAAATGAACTAACTCTTGGACTTGGATTGGCAAGTTGTGTATGATATCTCCGTGACATTTCTTCATGTTCCAAGTTCATTCTAGCACATGACAGTGAATATGAGACATTAACCTTCCAACACATGGGCTGTGGCTGCGCTGCTCTTTTCCAGTGTAATGTTATCTTTGCCACCTGTTACTTGTTTCTCTCCATGAACCCCTCCTAAATGCGCTGTTATTAATAGTTTGAGGAAGAGCAGCTTTCAGGGCTTTGCATGTTACTAGAATGGTGTACTTGCACTGTAGAGCTTTCAGAAGTTGTGAAACTCTGGCTAGGAGATACAGGAAAAATTAAACAAGTTAAAGACTGACAGTACTTTTACCAAAGCAAATATTTGCAGATGAGTGTTATCAGTGGAACAGCCTAGAAGTCTTTTCTGCCAGTGATGAATACATGTAATAGCTTCTCATCAGTGATAGGCATGGTGAATATGTTAAATTAATGAGTGGATTCTTTCCATTAAATAAATTATACTGTTGTAGAAGGGGCTAGAGGTGTAGGTGGGAGAGATGTCCTGTACATGGTTTCTCTCTCATCCCAAGTAAATCCAGTCAGGTCATAGAGTCATAAAATTGCTCAGGTTAGAAAAGACCTTCAAGGTCAGCGAGTCCAACCACAACCTAACCGAGCTACCCTAATAACCCTCTACTAAATCATGGCACATCTGTGCTTAACTTCTGTAGTAAGCTGAATGAATTCCAGATGCATCAGATTGCTATTATGAGCTAGCCAGTGTGTGCATACCTTTTGACATCTGTACTGAAAGCAACTGCCCTGACTTTGTCCAATGAAGTTGTTTGGTCTAGTTGGTGGCTCGTGAAACATGTATAGCCTTTTCTACAGAGGTTGCTCCAAAAGTAATGCCTCTTATTTCTTTCCATGGAGACTGCAACAGATGAAATAGCACAATAAAACTATTTGATATAGCAAAGTCTCAGCTACAAAACACTGTTTTTCATCATGTTCATTTTTGACAGCGATGAATAAGAGCATGCATGCCACATTCATAAAAATCTGCATGATTGTTCAGAACATGGCTTGTCTGTCATTATTTCTGTTGCCACTGCTGAAATGCACCACCTCACTGTGCTAACATCTGCTGTTTAGTCTCCGTAAGTGTTCTGCAATTATCCATGAATGTCAATGGGTGCAACTTCTTCTGCATGGAGAATTACACACCTTCATATGTGCTTGCATGTTAGACTCCATTTTGTCAGATAACTCTTCTGCTGACATCTGTCACATGACAACAAAATGTAACAATATTGTTGGGAGGATTCAACCTGTACTGCCACACACACTGTTAACACAATACAGTAGAAGGCATTACTTTTAGAGAAGTCTTCCTATTTGTTCTTCTGCCTTTGCCCTTGAAGAGTCAGCTGATTAAATGATGATTTACCACCCAGCCAGCTAAATGCTGTTCTGCCCCTGCTGTGATTCTGCCCTTGCTAGCAGTGGCTGGCAGGAGCCTGGGGTGGGGACAAGGCAATTCAGACCACTGGGTGAGTGCTTTCCTAAATCCTCACTGTCACTTCTTTGGCTGCCTAGGATAGTGTAAGGAATGTACTCGAGTTATTTCACTTGTTGGATATACTAGTGCATTTGGCAGTGCATTTTGCTCAGAGACTAATTTTTATCCTCCTAGTCTGAATCACATTTAGTCCAACAAGTTCAGCAAGTTAATTTATTCCCAGAAAATACAGGGAGAACTGGCCTTTCCTAATTGATGAAGTGTGAGAAGATTAATTCACTTTAAGTCATAGTTAATATTATTGCCTTGTACCTTTGAGGCATGGAATATACTGGACAGAGCAGAGTGGACCTTCCTTTGCTCATCTTCATGCCTGGTACAGTCTGGGCAGAGAAAGATGTAAGTAGGTACATGACAGGGTGTGATATGCAACAAATTTTCTTGAGAGAAAGAAACAGTGAAGTGAAGAGAAAGAAATAATCTTTTGCCAAAGAATCAGTATCATTTCCAGTCCCGCTGATGAGGTTCATAAGAATCCAGGCACAGAGGCTGCAGGATGTTTAGTTAAAAGCAGTAGCTCCTTTGGCCATTAAATATTCCATTATGAGGAGTAAGGTTTTGTCCTGATGCAAATGTGGGAAGTGTAACTCCATCTGTTAGAGATTTACTGGACTGTCCAGTTGATATTTAAGTTAAATTGGCTATGGGTGATAGTAGTGGTTTCTTCTTTTTTCTCTGTTAAAGGAGGTCATCATCTCCATAACAGGGAAGGCTAACGTTGGAATTCAACTCCTGAGTTGCTGCAGTTCTTTGGATGTGTATTCATACACATAATTGGCATTTTCAGTTTACATAAACCAAGTTGAAAATAATTTAGGAGCAGGTAATGTGTATGTTAAATCATCTCTCATACAAAGGCAGTTGCTTCCATGAGAGGATGGGAACCAGTGTCTGTAAGCTGTAACTGGAAGGCCAGTAGTACGTGTCTTGAGATGTTACAGTTTTGTTCTGCTGCAAAGATGCTGCTTCTATCCTTCCCTGGAGTTGCTGGAATTCCATGCATGGGTCCATTTGTTTTGTTTATTGTCTCCAAGGGAAATCTCTGAACAATGCTGTGAAGGACTCCTAGTCTTGTTCTCCTTTAGAAAGGGTAAGGAATTAATTTTTATTAAGACAGCTGTGTATAGGGCAAATAAATAATACAACTGACTGTCCTGTACACTGCGATAAGTCAGTAGAAACCTAAACCAGAATAAAGAGAGCAGTGCCACACTCTAATATGTGCATATTTGTTGCACAAATGAGATAACTGAATAAATACGGTGTGGAAAATTGGATAGGAAGGTCTTCAGTATGAACTTAACAATTCAGTAGGCAATTTAAATTATGATCAAGCTTGTAATGCCTATGCCTCATTCCAGTTAACACCCTTTTACAAGGTAAAAGCTAGTCTGGATTTACCCACATATACTGCTCAAGCTTAGACAAACCATGGGAGCATAATGCTGCCTTACAATCTTTCTGGTGACTACTGACAATGTAAAAGGTCCCAGTCTTCCTCCAGCCATTGTTTCAAAATACAAAATGGATTTAATTGATGGACCACTCACTGGATAAGGAATTGGCTGGATGGTCACACTCAGAATGTTGCAGTTAACAGCTCAATGTCTAAGTGAAGACCAGTGATGAGTGGCATTCCTCAGGGATTGGTGTTGGGACCGGTAAGCCTGTGCCAATCTCATGAAGTTCAACAAGGTCAAGTGCAAGATTCTGCATCTGGACTGGGGCAATCAAGCACAGATACGGATTGGGTGGAGAATGGCTTGAAAGCAGCTCTGAGAAGAAGGATTTGGGGGTGTTGGTTGATGAAAGATTCAACGTGAGCCGGCAGTGTGTGCTTGCAGACCAGAATGCCAACCATATCCTGGGTTACATCAAGAGAAGTGTGACCAGCCAGTCGAGGGAGGTGATTCTGCCCCTCTACTCTGTCCTTGTGAGACCCCATCTGGAGTACCGCATCCACTTCTGGGGTCTGCAATACAAGGACATCGAGCTGTTGGAGTGGATCCAGAGGAGGCTAGAGCATCTCCGGTACAAGGACAGGCTAAGAGAGCTGGGGTTCTTCAGCTTAGAGGAGAAGGATTGGGGGGTCCTTTTAGTGGCCTATAGGAAAGCTGGGGAGGGATTTTTTATAAGGCTGTGTAATGACGGAAAAAGGGAAAATGGTTTTAAACTGGAAGAGAGTAGGCTTAGACTAGATATTAGGAAGAAATTCTTTACTGTGCAGGTGGTGAGACACTGGAATATGTTGCCAGCAAGGTTATGGATGCCCCCTCCCTGGAAGCATTCAAGGCCAGGCTGGATGGGGCTTTGAGCTATCTGGACTAGTGGGAGGTGCCCCTGCTTATAGCAAGAGGGTTGGAACTAGATGATCTTAAGCATCCATTCCAACCTAAACCATTTAGGATTCTATGGGTTCCTCAGTGAGTTTCGTAATACAGCTACACAAAAGTTTGTCCCAGTGCAAGAGAAACAAGAGGGCATTGAGACTACTCTGCTGGTGGAAGGACCAGCCTGATATTTATCAAAATACATCTTTGAGATACAGTTTTCCAAGAGCCATCCTGAGTATTGGTTGCCATCAACGTAGACGCTCTTTGTGCTCTCACCTTTTGTATATATGTTCTCACATCTTGTAACCTCTGTGAGGATCAAAATGGGCTTTCTTGTCTTACTGAAAACTACCATATCAAAACTACAACAAAATTTAAAAACTCTTTTGGCTAGGATTAGCTTTCTCATTTAGTCACGGAGTTGTACAATTGCTAATGGTAGCACAAGGGTAGCAGCAGGCTTATGTGGCTACAGACTGGGGGAGAAGGCTGGATTGGCACCTTCTATTATCAGCAGAGGTATAGACTGACTAACATCTCTTGTGAAATTGCCACCTCAGAGAAATAAGTTAACAGTATTTTCTCACGGTAGGGAAGTTCACGATGAAGAATAGAATAGGCTGAAATAGCCTATGGGAAATGATAATTACTTTTCTGCTGAAGTAAGCTAGCAGCTAGGCTCACAGAGTACAGAGAAGCTATACTCTCTTAGTTTTGAAAGGGAGGAAGCCAAGATGCGCGTTCCTACATGCCCTCTGTTTTCAGAGTGACTATCAGTTCTTTTTTCACGTTTGAATGCCCCCTGGTGGAAAATTCAGAGAACCAGGATTTTAAGGAGCTCGTTCCCGATGCAAGACTTCTGTTTTCCAAACCTTGGCACATTTGAAACTGTGCCTGCTAATGAAGATGGGTTTATATTCAGGTGGAACTAGACTGGATCCATGAAGAACGTACATTCTTTATGTTGCACTTTATTTACTTACATTATTCATATCATTGTATAAATAATACCTGAGGCTAATGTGTGTGCACTCACATATTCCTTTTCCCTATTCTATATCTTTCCATGCAACTTCAGAGCGGAAGAGCTTTATTACAGTTACTGCATCCTTATTTTTCTTCCTAAGTGAGGCAGCCTATTCTGTCCTGTTGCATTGCTTTGACTTTACAGTGCCCTCTTATTTACTCTCCACATACTTTGTGTACCTTCTTGTTGTCCTGGCACTGACCAAGTGGTAAATATCAGCTAAGGCAAGAGGCTGTGTCATGCATTTTTAATGTTCAATTTCCTCAAAATACACGCAAATTCCCACCAACATTTTCTGAAATGCAAGCTAGATTTTAATGCATACTCTTCAGATTTCTACTGCTAGTGCACATTAACATATTTTGGATCTTTGGACACTTCTAGCTAAACAAGATTACTTTCGTTCATGGCAAAAAAGCCACCACAACAGATACTTGATAACCATCTATTTTTTGTTCCTTTTTTTTTTTTTTTTTTTTTGACAGGCTGATTTGAACACTAATATTGAAGATGAATCCAGATCTTTCTATGGTGTTTCCAGCCAATATGAGAGCCCGGAAAATATGGTCATTACCTGTTCCACTAAAGTGTGTTCCTTTGGAAAGCAGGTGGTGGAGAAAGTGGAGGTAAGGAATAGGCACCTTTGTACAAGGTTCTCTCTGACTGCTATTCTATTTTTTCAAGTATACATATATATAGTATATGTCTAAAGATAAATATATCCCATACTTCTTGCCAGGGAGATGGATGCCATAGGTTACTATTTCTGAGACATGAAGTTATAAAATTGCTTCAGCATCCAGCATGGCATTTTTCAAGACTCAATGGAAGATCTGATAGTGTTTGATGTTTTTTCCTTAAATCTCAGTTTCTGAAGTGTTGGTGATTCTCTGGACTTTCTGCAGAGCAAAGAAAAGCTAGGAAATCTGGATTTACTTAGTCCAGAAAGGTGAAAATAGATCATCTATCGACTATAGTCTGTGACCATTTACAGACTGTGGAGTTATGATTTTATGAGGCTTATTTTAGTGCTTGCATATATGCAGTTCTAGCCACTGCATAATTATATGTGTATCTTTCTAATGCTACGTTCAGCTGCTGAGACCTGCTATGATTTGCTTCATCCTGTTGTTTTTCTCAAGGAGCCATTAGATGCAGAGGGAGCAGCTGTGTGCAGAACACCAGATATTCTGTTGTCAGCAGTCAGGTCAAGCTATATTATTTCCCAAAAAACATCTCCAGTCATATGATAGACATATCTGGAATCTGGCTATGGGTTTGCATATGATGGGACAATGTAGATCAAGAAAAACTATCATGGTGCATGGGAAGAGAGCTCAAGCTGTTGTGGTGAAAGGAGAGAAAGGGCATTTAAGAATCAATGTACAAACCAGCATCAGTTTCTATTCAAAGGAAGATGAAATGTTTAGAAGCTAAGATGTGAATGTTAACAAAAAAATCCCTCTGTGTAATATTGGCCAAACATTCTCCTAAGGGGTAGCAAAGATGCTGTATTCTCTCTCAGAGGTGCAGAAGGCTTTAGTCCTTTCCAGGCATGATGCATCCTGAGCATAGTTACCACTGTCACTAGGAGCCTCCTGGTCTTGCTGAAGCAGTAGTTTTTGACTTCTTCCATTTATTCACACTTATTTTTTTTTTTCCAGCAGAGATGCATACCATATTATAACTGACAAGTGGTCTGCTCCTCTTAGTTTCCTTTTATAGTTCCTTAGCAGTTTGCTACTCATAAACTGGAATTTCTGTTCTGAAGAGAAAAGAAAACAAGCCAAAAAAATTGTTGGGCTCAGGAAGACTGAGGTCTTCTCTTGATACAGAGAGCTGTAGATAAATCAGATTAATCTACAACTGTAGAGGAATCAGCTCATTATTGTTAGTAAAATGACTTGAAAAAGTCATAATTTTTCTGTTTGGAGTTCTTTTATATGATTGTTACTGATGTGATAGCATTAACTTTGTAAGGTCCCTTTTCTGCTTTAAATTGCAGACAGAGTATGCACACTATGAAAATGGACACTATTCCTATCGCATTCATCGTTCTCCTCTCTGTGAATACATGATAAACTTCATTCATAAGCTCAAGCACCTTCCTGAGAAGTATATGATGAACAGTGTGCTGGAGAACTTTACTATCTTACAGGTGGGTCTTAGAACGGTTTTCCTTGGAACTTGGAAACATGCAAGCCCCATGCAAGAGTGCTCTCTTGTTAGTCTAAGCAGATTTCCTTTTACAGCCCAGCATCAAACTATACTTGATATTTCTCAAGTGCTGTACTGTACCTCAAGACAGGAACACTGGAGATCTTAGCTCATGTAGAGAAACAGCAGACCTTCAGTAAGAGAGAGAGAAAAAAAAGAAAGATAAAGTTAATAAGGCAGAGAGATATGGGAAGGAAAAGGATGCAGAGGTCATAGTGAAGGAAGTGCTCATTCTGCTACTGGCTGTGTGTTGGTCCTTTACACAAGGTTAAAAAAAAAAAAAAAAGGAAAGCAAAAACACTGTTAAGTGGCCATAAAATTTTGTCACAGGGAGAGTCTTTCACCCATATAATCACTGCAGTTCCTTGGTAGGGCAGTACTGCAAGGTTACCGTAACTAGATCAGTGTCTGTGTTATGCTATTAGTCTTTCCTGGCTCAGAGGCAGCCCAAATTTGGGAAAAGGGCAAAGTCATCTTAAAAAGTGGATTCTCCTAGTTGACTATGAGTTTTAACCTCTACAAGATGCGTTGCAGATCTTTGCCAAAAAGAACCTGAGACTGGGTGAGCGGAGTTGATTCTGGAGGCTGTATCAAAGAAGGGAAATAGAGTGGTGTTCATTCCATCCTCTGAAGATGTTGTAGGACTTCAGGCAACTCATTACTCTGTTCTGTGGCAAAGGAATCTCAGCTATAATACAAGCTTAATAATATCCTTATACCTCACAGAGTATGAGGTAAAAAGGCTTTACTCTTTCATGTTTCTATTAAGCTCTTCAGCATGTGAAAGAAAAAAATGAGTATAAAGACAGGATTTTTTGTTGTTGTTGTTTTTTGTTTTTTGTTGGTTTTTTTTTTGTTTGTTTTTAGATGAGCAAAAGCATGGTTTGAGCAAGGAAAGTTTGATAGTGTGTGTGAATACAGTGGAATGCTGTAACTGCTTTCTGCATGCATCTTTCCTCAGTCACACCAAGGACTGCTGTAAAGTTAGCCCCTCTGGGGCGTTGAATAATCTCATGCACTTTCTTCATCTTCTGTCACAGAGAGATGTCTCTCATGTGGGTGCTAGCTCAGTATTTTATATATTGTGTTTGTAGTCTTGCAATCCTGAGCAGTGGGCTGGAAATTTTACACATTGACTGGGGGGCTGAAATCTTGATTTGCAAATTGCTTTGTATCAAGCCTTCCAAGATTTCAGAGCACAGTATTACCAAAAAGGCTCTGATGTCTTACCATAACTCACAAATACCTGCAGAAAGAAGAAGGGTTAGTTCAACTGCGAAAGGTCGTGAAGTAAGAAAAGAAAACAATAGGCCAAAATGAAGGAAATAGTTATTTATGAGTTTGAAAACAGCTCTTTTCTTTCTATTTTTACAAGAGTGGTTGGGCTTTGGTACAGAGCAAGCCTCCAGCTATGCTTTTCTTCTGCAATTAAGTTGGTACTATAGCTGAAGAAAAAGTCTTTTCCAGCAGGAGAGAACTGCATGAAGCTTTAGTCAGGCACAAACCCAGATTACAATAATGTGTAAAAATGTATGGTGACAGAGAGAGGGAAGCTCAGCTAAGAGCTCTGGGTACAGTATTTTGTTTGTCCCTAAATGTAGTGTAGGCAGTACATGCTTCTAAAACCAGGACAGTACTTTTCATCACTATACTGCTGACACTGGGCCTAATACATGCTGCAGAGAAGCTTATATTCCTGAGTGTCATTAAAAAAAGAAATGGGAAAAGAGAAATAACTAGCTACTGTAAGAATGCACCAATATAGCAACCATCCTCCTGATACCTACGATGGATGGAATGGGAGACGTAAAAGTTTCAAATGTGTCAGTCTCCTGTAAAATGAGATAGATCATGAGAATTAGATTGTATGTTTACCTCTAATAAGCAGGATCAGATGATGGAAAAGAACTATTCATGGCTGTGGTATATCAGTGCAGAAGTAGGAATGGGCGTGTCACAGAAGGTGGCCACTCTCAACACAACAAACAGAGCAAAAACTTTTTTTTTTTTTTGCGAATCCCTTCTCTCTGCTGAAATCTCTAACATCAGGGGGCTGGGGAATAGCATACCTGCCTACTTGGTTGGTCACTGCTTGGTCACAACCTTCTTTTATCCTCAGTAGACTCTGCTCATCTCCCTGTCTCTTCATTGCATTGTAGTCCCAACATTGCAGAAGTGCTTTCCTTGGGTGTGTGAGCACGTAGATTGGGGGATGTGATGATTGAGCTATGTGTCATTCCTGTGGAGAATTCTGTTCTTTTCTTACTACTGATTTTTGCTCTCTGTGTTAAAATGTGCAAGCAATGAAATAGCAGATATGATCTCAGCTTCTCTTTTTCTGTCTAGGTTGTGACAAACAGGGACACACAGGAGATCTTGCTGTGCATAGCATACGTTTTTGAGGTGTCAGCTAGTGACCATGGTGCCCAGCATCACATCTACCGACTGGTGAAGGACTAGAGACTATCTGCCCTGAGTCATCCATGAGATGCATGTCTAAGGAAAAAGTCTGTGCTTGAAAATCCCTTGTCTCTTTCCACCAAATTGAAAAATAAACTGCAGATACTGTGTATTTTCAGAAAAGCACATCCAATCTGTTTTATGATTCACAGTGGCAAATATGTATCTCCAAGTTTGTGCAAATGGTGGAAAGGCTTGGAGTCAAAGAAGCAGTCAAATTACTGCTTAAGAGTTTCACTTAAACAGCATTCTCTGGAATGTATTCCTCACATTCTGCAATCCAGCCCTTAAAGCACAAATCAGATGTGATTGTAGACATAGAAGGAGTGGTATACATACACTGATGGTAGTGGTGGCAGCATTCACAAGCTGGACCACAAACATACAGCTTGGCTAGGTGTATGCTATGTCTGATCACAGTGTGTGCACTCACATACATTCATCTGGAGGTCAACACACACACAGACATGCTTACATTTTGATAGATTGCACTGAAAGTAATGCTTCCTATTTTTTCCATGGAAATTACAACATGCACAGTAACACTTCTTTCCATGTAGAAGAATTCAGTTTCATGCCTTTCCTTCACATGCACTTCCATATCTGATGCCATTTTATCAGATTGACCCTCTGCTGCCATCTGATGCATAGCAACAAAATGGACTATCATTGGGAAGGATCAGTGTTTACTACTATACCCCCAACATTTGCTTCTGTGGGCCAATAAAATATGAGACGTTACTTTCAGATCAGCCCTCGTATGTAGATACTTGTTCATCTAGACATGCACAGGAACATGCGTATAGTATTGCCAAGAATGACATTTGGGCAGCAAATCACAAGTGGTTCTCTTTCTGTTTCCAAAGTAATCAAACTCAATCCTTCTCCCTTAGTTGTAAATTGAGATTGTTTACTCAGGTAACTGACTTAACTCGCTTGCTGTGAGTTAATAGTTTTGGTCCCCACAATGCTACTGATGGAGGGGAAGAGGTAGCCATTCATGTTACTTTGAGGGAAGGGGGTGGATGGAGTGATATTCTCTGGCAGTCACTGAACAGGCAGTCTATTGCCTATGACCAGGTAAAGTCTATTAGTGCAGATTTGAAGAGGTGGTTTTAGATGTGTTCTTTCACAATGCAGCATAAGAAGATACCTCACACATTTGTTTCAGATGTTTCCATCCTTGCATTTTTGGCATAGAGAAAAATAATTACTGGTTCTTCAGGCATTTGATCTACTGTCTAAAATCAAAGGATTTATTGGAATTCCAGAAGGTAAGGAGGACTTCAAACATATGCATATGAAATCTGACTTTTTTCGAGAATTAATGAGCTTTGGTGGTACTCCTTTCTACAGATCTCACTGTGATGGTTAAAGTGTTTTGCGGACTGTGTAAAACTTATTCAAGCCTATAATGCTGCCTCCAGGTTTGTAATGCTTAGTTTACGAACTAAGATTGAATATAATCATTTCTGAACCTGTGTTGAAGCTGGGTGAGTTCATTCTTCACAAGAAAGTCATGTCCAAGCAACAGAAAGGAATAAGCTAGTAAAATTCAATTTAAAAGTCAAGATAGTTAGACCCATTACTCAACAATTTTTTATTTTTATTTTTTTTATATCTCAGTCTTCACTGGCAGTTGTCTCTTCCACATCTCCCAAGTCACAGAATCTCAAGGCAGCCACCCACCACAGAAGAAGACCAGGGTTGAGATGATCTGAGGAATCTGAGCGTGCTGAAGTCCACAGGACATTATGAAATTCACCTTGGGGTTTTGAGAGAACTGGTAGCTGAAGTTTACTAAGACACAGTCCATTGTATTTGAAAAGCATTGCTGAGATGAAGTCCCCAGTGACTGGAAAAGGGGAAATATAATATTTGTTTTTAAAAAGGGTTAAAAAGGAAAACCCAGGAATTAACAAGTGTCAGACTCACCTCGGTGCCTGATCAAATCACAGAACAGATTCCCCTAAAAACTATGTGAGGGTATATGCAAAATGTTTTACTAGCCTGAGGGGAGAAAGGCACTACAGAGGAACCTAGATAGACTGGATCAATGGGCCAAGGTTAACTGTATGAGTTTCCATAGGGCCAAGTGTTGGGTCCTGCATTTTGGGCAAGGCAACCCTACAGGCTTGGGGAGGAGTGGCTGGAAAGCTGCCTGATGGAAAACGACCTTGGTCCTGTTCTGATGGACAGTCAGCTGAATATGAGCCAGCAGTGTGCCCAGGTGGCCAAGAAGGCCAGAAGCATCCTGCCTTGTATCAGGAATGGTGTGGTGAGTAGGACTAGGGAAGTAATCCTGCCCCTGTACTCGGCCCTGGTGAGGCGTCATCTTGAGTACTGTATTCAGTTTTGGGCACCTCAGTACAGAAAGGACATAGAGGTGCTGGAGCAAGTCCAAGGCTTGTGAAGGGCTTGTAGAATATGCCCTATTAGGAATGACTGAAGGAACTGGGGCTGTTTAGTCTGGGGAACAGGAGGCTGAAGGGAGACATTATTGCTCTCTTCCAATATCTGAAATGTGCTTACAGTGAGAGGGGGATTGGTTTCTTCTCACAGGTGACAAGACAAGGGGAAATGGCCTCAAGTTGCACGAGGGTAAGTTTAGGTTGGATATTAGGAAACACTTCTTTCCAGAAAGGGTTGTTATGCACTAGAATAGGTTCCCCAGGGAGGCTGTTGAATCACCATCCCTGAATGTGTTTAAAAACCATTTGGATGTGGTGCTCAGGGCCATGATTTAGTGGAGGGTTATTAGGGTTATTAGGGTAGCTCAGCCAAAGAAAACATCTAGAAACCAGCTGCCAAACATCTCATTTGCACTGATGTGTTGAAGATGAAGTTGTTAAAGCTGCTGAAAGTTACGGGCAGTGTCAAACAAAACAATATGTGGCAGTGTAATCATCCTGATGGATGAAAAACTTAACATGAGCCAGCAGTGTGCCCTTGCAGCTCGGAAAGCAAATAGTATCCTGGGCTCCATCAGAATCCAGCAGGGACAGGGAGGTGATTGTCCCCCTCTACTGTGCTCTTGTGAGGCCCCATCTGGAGTACTGCGTCCAGGTCTGGAATCCCCAGTACAAGAAAGACAGAGAGCTGTTTGAGAGGGTCCGGAGAAGAGCCACGAAGATGATCAGGGGACTGGAGCACCTCCCCTGTGAGGACAGGCTGAAAGAGCTGGGCTTGTTCAGCCTGGAGAAAAGAAGGCTGCGGGGTGACCTCATTGCAGCATTTCAGTACCTAAAGGGAGCCTACAAGCAGGAAGGGAATCAACTCTTTGAAAGGGTTGATAACTGCAGAACGAGGGGAATTGGTTTTAAGTTGAGGCAGGGGAGATTTAGGTTGGATGTCAGGGGGAAATTCTTTACAGAGAGAGTGGTGAGGTGCTGGAACAGGCTGCCCAGAGTGGTTGTGGATGCCCCGTCCCTGGAGGTGTTCAAGGCCAGGTTGGATGGGGCCCTGGGCAGCCTGGTCTAGTATTAAATGGGGAGGTTGGTGGCCCTGCATGTAGCAGGGGGGTTGGAGATTCATGATCCTTGAAGTCCCTTCCAATCCTGGCCATTCTGTGATTCTGCGATTCTGTGATTCTGTGGTTAGGTTGTGGTTGGACTCGTTGACCTTAAAGGTCTTTTCTAACCCGAGCAATTTTATGATTCTATGATTCTATTCTATGGGGAGGTGACTGAATACATCCAACATGGCTTCACCAAGAGTGAATCATGCCTGACTAACCTGGTGGCCTTGTGTGAGAGAATGACAGCACTGGTGGAGAAGGGAAGAGCAATGGACATCGTCTACCTTGACTTGTGTAAAGCTTTTGATACAGTCCCTCCAGAACTCTCTAAATTGGAGAGTCATGGATTTGATGGATAACCTGTACAGTGGATAAGGAATTGTCTGGATGTCTGTGTCTGAAGAGTCGTAGTCAGTTGCTCAATGTCCAGGTAAGTGGTGACCCTCAAGTGGTGTCTGTCTTGGGCCTGGTGTCTTTACAACTTTATGCATGATGTAGATGGTGGGATCAAGTGCAAGTTAGTGGATAAATGCAAGCTGTGAGGTGCAGCTGACATTTCTAACGAAAGGAATGCCATCCAGAATGATCTTGACAGGCTTGAGGAGTGGGCTTGAATAATCCTCATAAAATTCAAGAAGACTATATAGAAGGTCCTGCACCTGGGTTGATGCCAACACAGAGTTGGTGATGAACTGATTAGATGCATACCTGCAGGGAATGTCTTGGGGATACTGGTGGATGAAAAACTGGAAGCAATTGGATATGAGCATGTAATGTGTGCTTGCAGTCCAGAATGACAATCATATTCTGCATCAAAAGAAATGTGGTCAGGAGGCTGAGGGAGGTGACTCTCCACAGTACTCTGCTCTCGAGACCTCACCTGGAGTACTAGATCTGAGGTTCCCAGTACAAGAAAGACATAGACTGTCTGAGTAGGTTCCAAAGAGGGTAATAAAGATGATCAGAGGGCTGGAGTACCCCTCCTATGAAGACTGGCTGAGAGAGTTGTTGGGCTCCAGTAAGACATCATTGTGGCCTTCCAATACATAAACAGCCTACAAAAAAGATGAGGAGACTCTTTACCAGGGACTGTATTAATGGGACATGGGGCAATGGTTTTAAACTAACAGAGGATAGATTTATGTTGGATATAAGGAAGATTTTTTTTTTCCTATTGGGTTGGTTAGATAACAGAAGAGGTTGCCCAGAGAGGTAGTGGATGTCCCATTACTAGAAATGTTCAGAGTTGGGTTGGGTGGGACTTTGAGCAATCTGATCTAGTGAAAGGTGTCCCTGCCCGTGCCAGGGCAGGGAGGGGAACTCAATGATCCTTAAGCATCTGTTCCAGCTCAAGCCATTCTATGATTCTAAGTTTATTATGGAAAAAATTGAATATGGAATTCCTCTCACAAAATTTTTATCTGAAGTATGTATTTTTGCTGGTTAAGCTGTCAGCAGTTAGATGAAAAGCAAAGGACTAAAGACCGTTAATAAAGATGGCAGATGACTGTTAACTGAAGAGAGGGTGTGTACCGAAAAGATCAGTATAGATGTTTAAACATATTTAATAGATTAATGAGTGACCTGGAGGAGAGAGAAAGTATCAGGGTAAC